CTTTGACTTCAGCTTCCCCCAAGGGTGGAGGGGGGGGGGGGTTATATGGGCTAATGTGACAGATGTGACGACTCAATCTGGGAGACTTGTGGAAGTGATTTTATGTTTCAAAAAATAAATGAGGGAGGGGGGGGGGGTTTATTAGTGCAACATGCAAGCATTAAAACAAACATTTCGTGTACATGTAAGCCTACTATCACGAAAACCCAATAGGCATTCGTCAACTTGCGCAATAACTCCTTAAACAAAGCGATAGCCCAATTTTCACACCTCTTTTTCTAAAACAAATTTGATTTGAAAAGCAAAACTCTTATTGTTTCAATATATATTTTTATGCATTCTATGTCGATGATATAAATTAGGTTCGCTAACCAATATGAGGTTTTTGCAACCTTATTTCAGTAAATGTGATTATTCATGCATAAAATACAACCTCCTTATAGATATGTACTAACTTAAGTTATAGCATTAGCGTTATTTAAACAAAATAATTTCTTGTCTTAAGTATCAACTGTCAAAATACAATTTTTGCATGAAATGAAAGCAATGAATGAATAAATCAAAAAGTACTTACTTCGACGTTTTCGGATAATGCGTTGGATGTTCAATCTCATTCACCTTCAAGGCTCTCGGCTCAGCCGAAATACCGATTCCTCTCTTTCTCGGACCATCAGCTTCCATTTCCAAACTTCCGAACTCAGTTATCGTTCCTCTTTGTGATCCACTAACAAGTCCTGACGATTTCTGATTAAAAACTGACTGATACTTATCCAATTCTGACATGAGGAAGGCTATTTCCCGATCCTTAGTGATCAGCTGTCGTCGGAGATCAGATATAATCTCGTCCCTTTCATGATAGTGAGAGGGTATCGTGGATTTTTTTAAATCCTTGTTGGCAGATTTTGAACTACCAGGGGGGAGAGTGGAATCGCGGCTGTCACCCCGAGTCATGCCCGAAGAGTGACCGAAGTTGGCCGCCAGGTTACGAATTCGAGAGAAGATTCTACTGGGCAGATTGGAGGAGCCTTGATGATCGGAATCGGGGTATATGTCACTGGGGTGTGATTGGTCTTGCTGTTGGTGTTGCGTAAAAGCCATTAATCCACAGCAATATTTGCCAAACCGGCCCCAATGTCTCTTAATAAGCGCTGAAAGATCATAGTTCACAAGCAGTGTGCGCAGATTCAACTTGGTGATAGCCAATCAGACGCCAGCTGTTAGATCTGCTTGGCTATGTAGGCGAGGAGGGAGGACTTTTGTAGGCAGTATTTGCGATGTTCTTTGTTCTTACCAAAGCTGCTATTTAACAGGTGTTCATTTTAATAGAATAAATTTTATCACATTATAGTTAGCCAATATTAACTTCATTAATTTCAGAAGGAGAAAGGAGGAATTTTTTCTCATTTTTTTGTCTTCAGTGAATATATATATATATATATATATATATATATATATATATATATATATATATATATATATATAAGTTGGTCCAGGGATTAAGACAGGGAGATTAAAGGGGGATCGAAAAAGAATGTCAAAGTAACAAATCGTTGTTTGGATTTTGGTCTTTTTAATTTTGTTTGGGAAAAATCGCAAAATTGCTTTTTTGCAATAAGATTTCAGAATTGATTTGTCGCCTGGATTCTTGACTTATTTCGTGATGACTGCGTATCGACTAGTCGATCATATCTGTTCGTCTATTAATCCAACCAAATGACCTCTTTACTATCTCTCGACCAAGATATATATATATATTTATATATTTGGGGATGAATTTAAAATGAGGGCAAAATTTCGAATCAAGCATGCTTCCTACATTCATCGATCAGAATATACACATATTTTAGTAAAGTATTCAGGGTGTTCGAAAGATCTACCTCTTGGCAGAGTATACTCATACGACAAAATGGCCTATAAATAGGCAGTTGATTTCGAACTACTCTGACCCGGCATTTCTTTATCATTATGGTCGTCTGTCTCTTTTACATCTGTGGATTGTTCTTCTGTTCTCCCTCTCAACTTTTTTCTATGTAGCCCAAAGTCAACTAAATGGATAATGATAACTATCAAAACGTCTGTCATTTGTGTAAATAAATAAATAAATACATTAAGTAATTTTCTGCACTTTTTATGGGTGGTTCAGGGAGTAGAAATTCATTTAACTTATAAAATTATAAGCAATTCCGAAAAAAATTATACATTACGTATTTATAAAATCTTTTAATCTCAATCTGCCTCATAAATATGCGCTATTGTTCTATCCACTAACTATGCAGCAAAAAACTTAAAAACATTTCTTAATGCCAGAAGTGGCCTCTTTTTGCCTACTTTACTCACCATTTCGGAAATTAAATAAACATGAATAAGAGGAAATTAATTTTTACTTTCAACTCACCGTAGAAATTCAGATAAGCGAGGTGGTTGGTATGAGCAAATGCACCTCCTTCACTGAGTGAGGTCCATGGAATGCAATTTGACCTTGCCCTGCCTTTGTTGACCCTAAGGAGGCAATATCGCAAAAGAAAAATACATTCACGTGTGAGTGTGCTCAATTACTTGCTTAAAATACTTTCACTAAAGTTGGTATTTTTGTAGAGTTTAGTTAAGTGTACTACTAATTAGATGGAACATTTTTTCCAGGTTTTTCTTATTATTATTATTTCAAATAGCAGGCGTTATGATAGTCATCATTAGCCCTGGAGCTGACTTCGGGGCTTCACAGAGAGGAGGAGGAGGAACATTAAAGTGACAAAAAGTCGAGATGGGAGACAGAATAATGATTCACAGAGGTAAAAGAGACAGACAGACACAAAGGTAGAGAAAAGGTGGGATGAGTACTGTGAAAGGAGTCGAATACGACATACAGTGGGGTTGTGGGACACGTTATCGCTGTGTGGGTCATCGTATGCCTGCATGTCTGCTCGCCAGGATTGGGAGGTGCGGCCGTACAACTCTGTGTGCAGCCACCGTACAAACAGTGACCAATCATTAACCTCTGTTTAACCTAATCCCCCATCCTGATCATGAGTAGCTCTCTGCGTGTACACTTTATGCGCAATATACGTCCTGAATGAACGTGCTCCGTGCTACACGTCTGTTTCCCTGGTTCTGGGAGTCTAGCCATAGAGATTTCTGAGTCGGTCAGGCTTTACTAGCGTAGCAATCCGCTACAGGGTGATTGTAGTTTGAAGTGAGAAGTGAACTGCCATTTTATAGACGTTTTTGCCGTATGAGAATACGTTGCCCAGGGTGCACCACGTGGAGGTAAGTCTATCGCACACCCCGTTTTTCTTAATATCATCCCGCTACTCGCACTGCCATAAATTCGAGCGACACTGCTACTCCTTAACTTACTTGATGGGCTCTTCCTTCTTTAAATCAACTTTATTTATCACTACCATTTTTGCATTTATTAATTTGAAATGTATTGCACAAAATGGGTTTTCCAACCGAGACTGCCCCGAAGTAACAGTCCATTTGTTAGCTGGAGGAAGCATCAAACTATATACATAGACTGGTACTGAGTTGTGTGTGGGGGGGGGAGGTGTGGGGGGTGTATTCATTATTACTACTGAATTCGTAAACTAAACTTGTCTTTCAGAACACATTCAAGGCATTTGTACGATGACTCATCGGCCTGGTTGTCCTAATGCTGCCTTGGAGACAAGTGACCATTAGGTCAAATCAATCCGCCCCTCACATCGTTGACCCTGCTTCGTTTTACATTAACGTTTCGCCTTCGCGTACGGTGTTTAGACCTACCCAGTTCCCTTTACGATCTCGCGATCCATTGATAGCCCAAAGTAACTCTTTGCTTTCCCATTTTGGCAATGTTTGCCTAATCCTCTTAGCCTCTATGATCGATGGATTTGAAGGAAAGGTCACGCGCTTAATTAGGTGGGAATATCAATACAACTTTGTTGGGGGGGGGGGGGGAAGGTAAAGCCCTCCCCCAATTCATTCCAACACGCTCCCAAACAGTTCAACGAATAAGGGAGGAAATAAAGGAAGAGCTGAAATGTGTTTGGAACGTCATGGCAGCGGTGGTTCATCAAGCTTTTTAAGGGGGTATTGCCTCAAGCCTAACCCGGAAGGATAATTAAATTGATTTTATTGCGGTGATTAGTACTAATTTTGGCACTTATATACGATAGGCTTGCACATCTGTGGTAAATAGTTGCATCCACTTTATAGCCTTGCTGCGCTTCACATTTAACCGTATGGGGTGTGCGATAGACTTACCTCCACGTGGTGCACCCTGGACAACATTTACTCATACGGCAAAAAATCTATAAACCGGCAGTTGGCTTCTGACTTCAAACTACAATGGCCCCACTGTATGTCATATTCGACTACTTTCACAGTACTCACCTCACCTTTTTTTCTACCTTCGTCTTTGAAACTCTCTTCTGTTCCCCCTCTCCCTCTCGACTTGTTTCACTTTGATGTTCCTTCCCCTCTGTGAAGCCTGAAGTCAACTAAAGGGCCAATGGTAACCGTCAAAACGCCTGCCATTTATATAAATAAATAAAATAATTCAGTATGGTTTGGGGACAGAGTGCATAATGTAGTTGAAATATCTTTCCATACTTTTAAGCCTCCAATTAAACCGAGGCTCTATTGTGCATTGTGATCATAGAGAATCATAGTGAGTTTGTTGTCTAGCTGATGTAATTGAATGGGTGATCTTCCCACAATGACGGTCATTGTTACAAGTACAACGAAGGGCCTCTCAGCTTAAAAGTGCGGGAAGATGTTTTTAGCCTATTGATTTCGGAATTCTCTGTTGATCAATACCCACCTTAGCTTTTATTTAGATTTTGGTAATATATATATACTCTTTAAAGTTGCAAATAAACAGTCAAGAAGACAGATTGGCATCGTGTTTGATGTCAGAATTAAGCATGTCTTTCTGACACATGACAGCCTAAGTACGTATTCGGGAATAAGGGATTCGGAGTTTGACATTCATTGGTTCCTTTAGTTGTTTAAACGCTATGTTATATTTTTTTGTAATGCTGCATTTTGCCAGGTGATATGCAAAACGCGACTTCGATGGACAATTCAGTTATAAAATAGAAGCCTCATCAAAGATGTGCTTAGCGTCTTGCCTCATCTCACAACTTTCCTCCCAAGTATAGTCAGTGTCTGTCTCCTCGAAGGACGTTTCGGTTTAAGAAAACCAGATAGACATTTCACAGAAATGCTTTTATAGAATATTATGATTCTATCAAAGTGCTAAATCATATTTGAGTTTGCCCGTAGGAATTCATATTACCGGGTTTTCGGAAGTCGGCCCATTCGAATAAGAGCCGAATAAGAGATAGAAGATAATCTCCATTATATGGGTAAACTTGAGGTATTAGTGGTTCCTTTTATTATTTAATAAAAAATTTTCCTGGTCTTTAACGGCTTAAATCTTTTCACAATTTCTAGGAATTTCATTGTGTAGTGCTGACCTTGTATGAAATGAAAGAGTACTTATTAGAAGACAGTGGTTCACGTTACCATATGGGATCAAGACGATTCATCGGTTGATGTTGCTAGTTAATTCTGGGTGATGTTAGTTAGGTGATATAGTAAGGCCATAAGGGCTTACTTTTGAGCTTCTAATGGTGATAAGCTTAGTTAGATATTAAATAATGGAATATCCAACTGGTAATAAAATTTAAAAGAATTATCGTATTGGATATGAGCGTTTTGCAAAATTTTAACCTTTTATGTTCAATTTTACTCTTTGTTGATTTTTAATTTTGTTCCAGACTGTGTTCAATTAAATGAATCTACTTAAATTACACTGAAATTCGATTTTTTTGTTTAACTACTCAATAAAAACTCATGTGGACATGCACCTAAGGCAGCATATTTAGTCTCACGTGAAACGAATTGAGCTAATTAAAATTGATGCTAAAATGTAGATATATTGCAAACCGGGGTGTGCGATAGACTTACCTCCACGTGGTGCACCCTGGGCAACGTATACTCATACGGCAAAAAGTCTATTAACCGGCAGTTGACTTCTGACTTCAAAATGCCATGGCAAGACTGCTTGTCATGTTCGACCGCTCTACAGTACTCATCTTACCCTTTTCTCTGCC